ATAAAAGTAATCGAAATTTTCTAATTTTTCGTAAAATTTTAAGATTTTTCATATTTTTTCATAGATAAATTTAATAAAATTTGTTGAAATTAATTCACAATAATCCTCAATAAAACCTACCGAAACGGTTTTTTCCGTTTTTCAAAATTCAATCTAGATCAAATTTTATTTAAATTTATCGAAGCCTATGTACGCTACCAAACCATTGCGGAATAATGTAAACAATAACATAGAAACAGTTATTTACAAAGCAAGAATAACAAATAAGTAGATGTTTGGGATAAATTGTGTTAATATTTTAGTTAAACTGAAAAATTTTATTGATAATAGAATGAAACCATAAAGTGTTATATACCATTGTAAAGCTAATGAAATTACGCGTATACTGATGAAAAAAACCATTTGGGTGAAATTGAATTAGGTTTATAATGCAATAATTTCAATAAATTACATTAAATAATTCTATGTAAAAATTTAAAAACTTAAAAATTTTCCGATAAATTACGACATTTGTAATAATTTTGGAGTTGTTTACAAATTTGTGTTATGCCATTGAAACCGTCTCCCAAAGACCTTTCCTAGGATACTAAATTTGCATATGGTTTATTTGTCAGAAATGTGAAAAAATCTTAAAAAAGGACCCTTTTATCCTTTGATCCAGCTCTCCAAATATTGACGTCAGGACAAAAATTTTGAGAAACGCTATCTTATTATCAATTAAACTTTAATTTTAGTGGGGAACATCGACACCTTTTTTTCCTCCATAGAAACGGGGCCACCCTAATGTACATACATATACTGATAATTTGAAAGAGAGCTCTGATCATTATTAATGTAAATTCCTTACTGTGTTCTTAACGTTTATAAAATGTTTTATTTGTTAAGATACCATTTCTATCTTAGAATTAACTAAATTTTAATTTTCGGTGGGAACGTCAGCAACTTCCATTTTGGGGCCACCCTAATGTACATACATATGTTATTTTCGATATTTATGGATTCAAACTGACATGTTTTTAAAACGGTAAGAACACTGTAATTTCCTATCAAAATTACATGTTACATTTGGGAATGGGATGCTAGCCCGATTGAATGAATTTTCTTCGTTTTATTGATAACATAATTATTTTCTTAGTCAGGCTACAATCAAATCGCAGACATATATGTAATATATACCGGAAAAGCCGAAGCTTTGAATAGATGGCGATGCAATTGCATATGTGGATGTGTAGACTCAGGATTAATATAGACAACATTATGGACTTTGTGAAATCAAGCGGTATGATATCCTACTCTTGTAGCTTCCGCTTGCAAACTTCTCATTTGTATACTTTGTAAGTTCGTGGGTACATATGTTTTTACAACAACGGGCATAGTCATCTATTTGTAGATCCCAAAAATTGAAATAGGTTGGAAAGTTGTAATTTCAACAAGTACAATGTTTTTGTGAGTTGAAGAAACTAATTGTGTAATACATATGAACTTATATTTTTCAAAAAACAAAAAAAAATATTACATGAACATGAAATTATTAATTTTTTTTTTACGAAAAAAGCATCGAATGTTAAGATCTTTAAATTAAAAATATCTTTTAATTTTTTTTTTTTTAATTTGATACTTATGTTATTAATATGAAACAATATAAAATATAGATTGATAACTACTAAACACAAGTAGTTTTAGGAAAGAAGAACAGAGATAAATATTCAATATTATAAATAAATGAATAAATATGCATAACGGATTATTAATTGTATTTTGTACTAAACAAAATGTTAATTAATACAAGCATTAGGTACATTAGACTTCAGTGAAACAATAGGCGACACGTAACCAAAGTTCCTAAAAACTACACTACTTATATAGAAAAAATTGTGACATACGAATTTCTTGCCAAACAAATAACTCATTTTCGATATAGCTATAACTACGAATGTCACAATTTTCTTTTTTCTCTGTAAATATATACAAATAAAATACAAAATCTTAAAATCTAACGAGACCCAAAAATATAATTAAACGATTAATATTTATTTAATATCAACCGAAATATGTATTTTCTGAACTCCACTTTCTTAAATATCATTGGGAATAAATATCTATTGTTTTTTATGAAAACCGATTTGAATTGTAAACGTTTTCCCAAATTTACATTCTAGATTTCCATTTTTATACACAACCTCTAGTGTGCTGATGTTTGTAATTCACTAACTCACACATTAAGGGTAAACCAATAGACTCAAAACACTTTATGTGTCGTGCTTATATTATTTATAAAGAGTTATGGACGTTCAAATCTGCAGGGGACTTTGTATGAGACTTGGGTCAAATTAGTACCGATCATAAGAAAACTAACAGTGTTATTTAGGATTATCTAAAACCTTATTGTGCTGCTTTTTAGTATTTATTAGTATATTTATCATAATCATGAATTCATAATTGACCTAGCCCAAGATTTTTTAATACGCTTCATCCTTGTGCCAAAACAGAAGATTTTGAGTCGATTGGTATACATTTTGGGTGTTGTGCTTATAAACGCATAATATCCTCCTGGATATATGTATATGTAGGAGTTGGGTACAAACATTTTATTTATTTAGGAATTTTGTAACGTCCTTTTAATGAATAATAAATAAGTGATACACTTTTAGATAAAATAAAATAATGTTTACCAATCCACAATGATAGAAATAAAATTTTTGGGAAATATGTTGCTATAATCCGACCCTGGCTCCTCGAGTAAAATTCTGCGGATAATTATGTAATTCGTTTCGAATCGAATTTCGAAATAATTTCTTTTCGAAACAAATTACAAAAAAATAATTATCCCTATATAGGTTTCAATGTGTTTAATCTAATATGTGTTAGATTATTGAGTATTTCGGTTTAAAATAAGAAGGGAATGTATATACGTTAAAATTAGTGACTCCTCCACTCTTAAAAGCTCCTGCCTTAGCACTTAGTTTCTTCACAAATAACAATATGGCTACGCGCACCTGTTTCACTTTCAGATTTTATAAAAAAGTAATATATTATAATTATTTTTGTATGTTAATTCGTGTTAAAGTATACTTAAAAGAATTAAAGAGAGTTGTTATATCACTAAAATCTATTCTTATTAAGACCATTAAGATAGAGGAAAATTAAAATTGAATTTAAGTGTGTTTTACGTAGGTATGTTGTATTAAAAGTATTCATATAATAAAAAAAAAATTAAACAATGAAAACTGTATGTGTTCTCAAAGCAAAGATTTTGTATTAAATTAAAAAGATTTGAAAACAAGTTTAAAATTAAAATTATAATAGAACAAAATGTAAAACTTATATATAGAAATAAAGCATTAAAAAGACATAAAAATTATAAATGTATGCCTTAAAATCACGGTAATTTTATTTAGAATATCTGCTTTCAAAATATGTATATATATTCTGTATTTATTATTTAATATGTATTATATATGCAAGAGCTATTTATAGTTCATCATCTCTAAATTCCAGTATATAGGCTTCAGCTTTTAATACTTAAATTTCAAATAAATCTTTCTACTTTCACACTTTACAGAAAAATATATGCAATAAAAACAAACTATGTATACAGGAAATTATGTTATGCACTCTTCTGAACAATGAATTAGATCCGGTCTTTTATCTTAAACATGCATCCTCCAAAGGAAATTTATACCAAAAAATCTGATAATGTAATTTTGAGATTTATAACATGCCTACACTTAAAAATAACCGTTCGACTTGAAGTAAGGCACATGTATCCTCCAAAGGAAATTTATACCAAAAAATCTGATAATGTAATTTTGAGATTTATAACATGCCTATACCTAAAAATAACCGTTCGACTTGAAGTAAGGCACAAAAGAGATTTTTTAAACATGTGCTACTTAATATAACGGTCAAATTCTGAAAATGTGAGGCAAATTATATAATATTAAATTATAAAATATCTTAAACTGTAAATGCTTTAGTTTTTAATCAAACTATAATAATGAAAATTAAGGTTCATATGGAACGTATGAACCTTCAGAGTGGCAATGAAGCACTCAAGAGAAACGAATTTAATACTATCCGATTTTCAGAATTCCAATTTATATCAAGTTACGCAATACTTTGTACCACAATTGAAAAAAAAAAAAAAAAACAAAATGTTAATTTCATACCTAGGTACGTATTTAAAAATTAAATCATTATATAAGCGATTCGGAAAGAAGAATCTTTATGTGGTCAATCTACATTAAAATTTATTTGCCTTGATTATATTCAATTATATTTACAATCTAGTAGCATTTTGACTTGAATATTTTCTGAATTATTTATTTATTGTTATTTGTTTATATTATAGTTGCTGCATCTAGTTCTGCATTTTTATAAATAAAATGTATTGGTTATTATTACAAAATTTTATTCGCAGTTGCATAAATTAATTTGAAGCTGATTTTTCTCTTTTTTCAAGAGAGAAAGGATAAACAATAAAATCCTTAAACCAAATTTTAGTTACATTCTTAAACTACTTATAATGTAACTAAATAAAAATAACTTGTCGGAGAATGTTGCGCACCCACCAACCGTCATTATATTTCATAACCTATTTTATATACTACATAAAAAAATTTAAATTTAAAAATTTAAATTGTGCAGAGAAATGATATTGTGTATTCACTTCTCAACTGCATATACATACATATTTCTTATAATTTATTACTTGTTCAATTAAAGAAATTAATATATAAAAAATAAAATAATAATAATAATAATAATAATAATAATAATAATAATGAAAATAATAATAATAATAATAATAATAATAATAATAATAATAATAATAATAATAATAATAATAATAATAATAATAATAATAATAATAATAATAAATACAAATTATCAATAATAAAATATAAAATAAAAATTACGATTTATATAGATAATTTAGTCAAATAAAATATAAAATTCTTTGAATGAATAAAGCAATTAAACAAAAGGGTTTGACTTACTTGAGTTTGTAAACGTGTTAAGCCACGTATCCATAAGATTTGACCAGCACGGGGTTTTTTATCAGAGTCGATAGAGTCAAAGCGTTCTTCGCCTAAATTCATGCCATCAGTATATTCTTCTGGATGTCCGCGTCCCCATCTAAAAAATATATTATGACTTAGATTTTTTAACATAACTTTATCGTAATAAATTAAAGTTTTAGAGCCAATCTTTAGGTGAATAATAAGCGATTAAATTAAAATTAATTTTTGAATGTTGTTTTTGAGTACTCAATTAGTTAATTTTGTTAGCTTGTTTAAGCGCCCCATGGACGTTGTTTAAACAATAAATGCAAAAGTAAAAATCAGGGATTAAAAATAATAATTATCTTTAAATTTTTAAAGAAAATAATCAAATACCAGAAAATGTACCATTTTTACTTATTTGAGCAATCTATATATATAACAAGTCAGAATGCTATATTCGGCTTTGCCGAATCTTAAATACCCTCCACCTTAAACTGGTTTCATAAATTATCAAATTTTATGGATTGATTCAAATTTACCTTAATATTTTAGACTTACTTTCATTACGCCTTACAATATGCAATTAAAAACAAAACTACCACTTAAGGACTGTTACAGAGCGTACTAAATTTAACCTATGTTCTGTATTTAAAATAAACTTAAAACTTATATAATGTTAATTCTCCGTTCCATCCACTACAACCAATTCATCATATTGTCCTTCGTTAACTAATATTTATACCTTACACCACTTAGTGGGGAGGGGTATATTGGTTGGGCTGATGTTTGTAACATTCAAAAATATTCGTCCTATACCGTAAAGTATACCAAGCGGCTTAGAATCGTTTTCTGAGTCGATTAAATTATGTCCGTCCGTCTGGCTGGCTGGCTGTCCATGTAAAGATAATGGAATGAAATTTGGCACAACACTTTTTTTCGACCCAAGGACGAAGCCTATTGAATGGTTAAAATCGGTCCATTATTTCACATAGACCCCATACAACAGAACCCCCCGAAAAGGGCTTCTGAGCTCATAATTATGTTAAATATACCTGTATATTGATAAATTGCCAAATTTCATAGAGATCGGGCCTCATTTGACCCTAGCTCCCATACAAAGTCCCCTTCAGAAAATTACTTGAATGTCCAAAATTAACTTATAAACACAAATATTGCGATGAAATTCATCACAAAAATATTATGTAAATATAAATATTTTCGCAAAATTTTATCGGGCTTGGTCCATATTTGCCCCTAGCCCCCATATAAAGCCTCTTTCAGAAAATTAGTTTTCAACCATAAATTGCTTAAATGTATCGGAACAAGGTAATAGAAGATAAATGCTTTATTATGAAAAAAAATCACATTTAATATTTATAACTGGTGTAGGGTATTATATGATCGGTCACGCCTGACTATACTTTCTTACTTGTTTTCATATAAAACAAGCCACGTTATTTCTGTTTGTACAAAACATTGCTGCAGAATAACTTTTATCAACACTGATGTTGCTGAATAGCATAAGAAATTAAATAGTTACACTTTCTCAATGTGCACATTTTATTTGATCTTGGGTTAACAACAATTTTTACACAAACAGGAAAGAGAATTTCTATGTATACTAGTCTGTTATATAGAAACCTGTCTCTATATCAGTTTTTTCTGCAGAAAATGGACATTAGTAGTTTTCATTTTTAATATAAGCACAATATTGTGTGGCAACTCTTTTCAATTTGCATAAGAATTTAAAATAGTGGCAACTCCGTTCAAATTGGTGAAATTATTTTCTGAAATACATGTTCGATTCCAATCTTTATCAGCGGCTACTTTTAAGCCGGCTTAGCTTTCGAGCCGAAAAAAGTCGGCTGCAGCGCAGCTTGCATAATATTTCCGGCGGCCAGCCGCCGCCGATTTGAGCCGTCTCGTCATGTATCTCTGACTGGGAGATTTTTAAGTTCGAATCCTGTTCGTTTTGGACAGTTTTTATTTAATTTTTTGCGAAAAATTATAAATTTTTTAATCCCTATGGGTGGTACAAGAATTGTGGACTGATTTCGATTTTCAACTCAGTGGATTCCCAAACTATATGTATGACAAAATTCAACAATAAAAATTGTGCCAAATGATTTAAGTGATTCTCGAAAGGGGACCTCAAATGGGAGCTATGACCAATTATGAGCCGATCGTAAAAAAAATTATAATAAGATTTCTGTAGATAAAAGCAATATTTGAGCCCAAATTTTGTATGGATATCTTTATTTCGTAATGAGTTTTATGCGTTTAAGCGATTCTCGAAAGGGGACCTTGTATGGTAGCTACGACCAATTACGGAACGATCGTAAACAAATTTTACAGTATCATTTCTGTATATAAAAGCAATATTTGGGCTACATTTTGTATGGGAGCTATGACCAATTGTGGACCGTTCGTGAAAAAATATACAGTAAGATTTCTGTAGATAAAAGCAATATTTGTGCCAAAGTTTGTATGAATATCGTTATTTGGTAATGAGTTATGTGCGTTTAAGTGTTTTTCGGAAGGGAACCTTATATGGGAGCTATAACCAATTATGGACCGATTCAGAAAATTGTTTTCTTATATGAATTCTATTGGCATAGAATTTAAATTTGTAAAATTTCGTAAAGATATTGGCATTATTTCGGAAGTTAGTAAAATATATTATTTTCGGGCAGTATGTACATTTGTATGGGAGGTATATGAAATTGTGAACCGATTTTTAACAATGTTGATCCTGGCACCAAGAGTTATATCTCTGACAAAATTCATCAATTTATCTGTAGTAGTTTTTGTAAAAAAAAAAATAAATATGTGAAAAAGCTAAATTTTTTTTTTGAGGTTGTCTCAAATTGTTACTCATAACTCTGAACCTATTTTACCGATCTTGCTGATTTTCAATACCAAACTGCTTAGGATACCAATGAATATTTTGGGTGATTTTCATAAGGTTCCGTTGCATCATTTTAACGTGAGCGTGTTTTATATAGACAGACAGACGGACATATCTAAATCGAGAATTTCATAAGGACCAAGAATATATATACATACAGTAGTTTTTCGATTTAACGAACCTATATGTTGTCAGGCCTGTTCGTTAAATCGAAGAGTTCGTTATATGAAGTACTAACTCGAAAGTGTCTTTTGGGTACATAATTAATTAAAATTACGTAAAATCTAATTTATAAAAATATGTTCCAGGAAATATAATTTCTTTAGACAATATTTTATAAGAATTTTATGAAAAACTAGCAATTTATATCACAATGTAAAAATAATAAAGAAATTTGAAAAAACTCAGTTTATTTCGTATAACTAATCTACGTTCTGGAAAGCACTCGGACGACATAATTCTTAAAGAAGTTTAAACCCAATGGCTGGAACTGCGATGAATCTGAACATGGCCACAAAATTCCTTAGGAAATAGATTAATGTATAGTTATTAAAGCGTTTCATTGTTTCACAGTTTCATTGTTTTCATTCTTTGAGATATCTGAACCCAAGTTTTTTAAAATATTTTTTCCTTTATTTCAAGCTATTCCTGTAAATATCCTTTTTCCAAAGAAAAACTATTTATATTGTTTATTCTATAACATATCGTTTCTTACAATTCTTACAATTGATTTTTATTGGAAAAATTATGGTCACAGTGGGGTACTTGTTAGTTTGGCGAAAAATAAAAGCGAAATGTTAGGTATACGATTGGCAAAGTCTTTATTTTGAACACCAATTTCTATGATTTCAAATTCTGAGGACAAATTCGGGTTGATCACGAGCTTCTAGAAAAGTATACTTGGCCTCTCTAACATTTTTTGTTTCGATTTTCTAATTCGATCAACATTAGTTTTTGCGACATTAAGGATTGTAGATTTGATTATCTCATATTTTTGTATAAATCTTTAATAAAAAAATCTCAGATTATCTAGAGTCTTCATTTTACTAAATTAGAAGAAATCAACTCTCGAAATCCATATTCGAAAGCAATGGACAAGTAAATACCCCTCCTAATAACGTCGAAGCTTTCTGACATGATTTTTAGTTATTTTTGTTAATTTAACTCTAATTTAAATTATTTTATTTATATTTGTTCGTTAAACTGAGTACAAAAAATATTTTTTGTTCGTTATGTAAGGTACTCAATGTAAAAATATTGATAGTTCGCTAAATGCGATGTTCGTAGAAACGAATGTTCGTTAAATCGGAAAACTACTGTACTTTGTTGGGTCTCAGATGAATATTTCTCGGTGTTACAAACGGAATGACAAACTTATATATACCCTCTATCACCACTGATGGTGGTGGAGGGTATAAAAATGAATGTGGTTTGTATGTTTGTTTGAACTTTATAGACTGCTAAACGGCTGGAGCGATTTTCCTGAAATTTTCACAGTGTCTTCCTGTATGTCTGGAAGGAAACTATAGGCTACCTTTGTTTTGGAATTTCAAGTAGGCGAAGTGCCACGCCTACATACTAAGTTAGTCTTAAAAGTTGTATATCTCAGAAACTGCAACAGCTAGAGCCCTAAAATTTTACGAACAACTTTGACATCCATGAGAATTTTTGTGGAGAAAATGGGCGGAATAGCTATAATGGGCGTGGCACCTTACATATTAAAAAAATATTAAATAAGTACATCTGAGAAAATATAAACAGTTAGAGTCCTCAAATTTTGTCGGACCCACTTTAGTGTCAATATGATATTTAGGACAAAAAGTGGGCGGACTAGCATAAGGGGCGTTTGGCACCTCCCATATAAATTAAATACAAAAATTCGTTTATCTTGGAAATTATTAGGGTTAGAATCTTCAAATTTTGCACGAAGAACCTTAACATCTATGTAAACATTTTTGGATAATAAATTGGCGGACTACCAATGGGGGGAGCGGCACCTCCCACATGAATATAATACAAAAACTCGTTTATCTGGGAAATTAATAGAACAAGATTCTTGAAATTTTTTCACGTATAACATTAATATTCATCTAAACATTTTGGGGAAAAATGGGCGGACTTTCATCAACGGGGGCTTGGCACCCTCATATGAATTAAATAGAAAAATTTTGTATATCATGTGAACATTTAGAGAAAAATGGGCGGACTTTCAATGGGGAAATTGG